GCCTCCGCCCTACCCCCCGCCCGCAACCTAGGCTACCCGACGGCGCCCCACCGCACCCCGCTCCGCCTCACCCCCGCCCCTGAGGCTCGGTCGGCGGCGGGCACTCGGTGGCACCCCCAGTGCTCAATGAGTGGAGAGTATGCCTCCGTCCGGCAAGCGTAGCCGGGTGCGGGAGACCCCAAGGCAAACCCACAGGGCCCCTGGGGGTCGTGGGGCTGGACCTGGGGTTGAAATACACATGAGTGGGGGATGATCCCCTCCTCCAGCGTGTGCCTGGTGTGTGATTGTGTGAGTGTGCGAGTGTGTGTGTGTGCGTGTGTTTGCTGTTGTGTTTGTGTGTGCGAGTTTATTCCTGCGTGAGTGTGACGTGAGTGTGTGAGTCTGTGTGTTGGTATTTGAGTAAATGTGATACCATGCAATTGTGCGGTCATGTGAATGTTAGTGCATGAATGTGTGAATATGTGTTCAAAACCGAACTTTTTATTTTGGTTATACTGTACAGGGTGGGTGATCAGCGCCGTCTTTTTTAAATGCTTATAATGAACAAGATTCACGCGTGCGGGCGGGCTTGCCTATCGTCGCTCGCTAGGGCGCCGTACGGCGCCGTGCGAGTATGCAACCCGTCCGCACGTAAGAATCTGGTACAGTATAAGCAGTTTCAAAAGACGGCGCGTATCACTCACCCTGTATCGCATGCAGGCGTGCGGGCGGTCTTGCCTTGCCTACCGACTCACCACGGCGCCGGTGTGTCGCCGTGCGACTATGCAGCCTGTCCACACTCCTGCATGCGGCACAGTATGACAAGGAAAAAAAAAGTCCTCGGTAGAACACCCACCCTGTATAGGCATCATCCGGAAAGTACGTCTGTCATTCGCCATTACGAACCTGCCAAGTTAAGCTGCTCGAAGCTCTCATAGCGCCTGATCAGCAGGCAATATCCTGCCTGCAATTCATGTGTGTACTGCGGTGTGGCCTACCCTGAGTCTCGCAGGCGCCGTGCTCTCGTAACATTTCGAATAACTAGGCATTGTTATAGACAAAGAGGCTGATCCCTGGTCGCGGAAGCGATGTGCGTTTCCGTTGTTTTGTGATTTTGTTATGTTGGCAATTAATTATCATATCACTTCTTTCCTCCTTAGTTTTTTTTTGTACCCATTTTGCCCATTTACTCGACGCCGCTCGTCGCGCGTACGAAATATACCTCAGTTCTACGATGCCTTTCTCATGCGCAGGCTTGCCAACGCACAGACTGCAACATGAGGCGTTTTAGAAGCAAGCGCTCATTTTAACTTTGACCTCAGTTATCTTTCCAACTGTAATAATTGCTCGAGAATTAGTTTCGCAGCAAGTTTTGTTGTACTCTCATCAGAACAACATATCTCTGACTCACATTAACTCTGTAAACTTTACCATTGGGGAAGGTTGGATCCCCATAAGTTGGGCCGTGATCTCCCAAACTCCTGGGGGCTACTCCACTCGATTGTTAAGGCTTCGCCTCTTATTTTTATTCAGATTCTTTATTTCTTATTGCTTTAAGGCTCAGCCAAATATGAGAAAAACGGGCGTACTATCTGGACGGTCCCATATCCAATACACATCCACGCCAATCAGGAACATGCTCTGAGAATTAAGGTGTACCAATATCGCATACCTGCAGGTGAGCAAATTAATGTGCATTGTTGTAGATGTGTGACAACATATTTAAGCATTTTTATGGCATTCTTTTGCAAGTGTTATGAATCGCCAATTTCTCATTCTCAAGAGTGTGAAATGGTCATTTGCTCACATGCAACAGTGTTAATAAGTTGTAGAACATTTGTTGGTGTGCGACAGTTCTACCCTCTCAATTCCAGTATGGGCAAGGCATGAGACATTACGCTGTGCCAAATAACATTATTTTGGTGCTGATACCCAAAGAATCTCAATACTTCAGTGCACGGAAGAAAATTGGGGTAAAACATTCATACCATGTTTGTTTTTACCGATTTAAACTTTAGAAAGCGTAACACGCTCCCATATGAAAACTTGCTGTTTTACGTCGTTTCACGGCTGCTCGCCTTTGTTTCTGTTTCTGCCTGGCGAGCGCGTGCCCGGCACAGCAGCGCGCTGAGCGTTGGCTGTTTCGTCCCTGGCCCGGTTAAGCCGGAGGGGGCGGCCGCTGCGTCTGCGTCGGTCTGCGTCCGGCCGCGGGCCGGCGCGCGTCCCCTCGGGGTCCCGTCCCCCGCCGACGGGGCAGGGGGCAGGGCCAACCGGGGGGCAACCCGAGCGACCCCCTTCGCTCCCTCCGTTGCGCACCAGAGCGTCGCGATGTGTGAATGTGAGTCGATGGCATCGTCGGGGTTCTTCGGGTTGTGTGTGTGTTCGCCATCGAGGCGGAGCCAGCCGGCAGCAGAGCGCGGAGTCCGCGCCGACGCCACGGCCCCGTGCCTAAACAAAACCCCTCTACCACGCACACCTTCCGGCACAGCCGGCATGGAAGTCGAAACAACGACGCCCATGGCCATTCTAAAAACACGACGACGAGCCTCGGCTCGGTCACCGACCCGACTCCATCCCCCACCTCCCTCTCCCCGTCCACCGCCCGCCGCTGCTGGCCGTCGCAGAGAGTGGTCCAGGCGCAGCCTTCCCCGCTCGTGGGAGCCTCCCCCTCGCAGCCCCCGAGCTTCTCCGCGGGCGCAGCGCCCCGCGACCCCATTCCGGCGGCCCGCGCCCGCGTCCCCGTGCGGCCCCCCACGCCGCCGGCCTAGATGTGGTGCTCGTGGGGAGGAATATGCAGTGTCAGTCGCGGAGGTCGGAGCTGGCGGCGGCGCTGGCTGAGCGCGTGGGCGGCGGGGGGAGGGGTTACAATGCGCACAGCGGGCTCTCCTCTCTCAGCACCCGCCCGACCTAGAGAGGGACAGTGGCGGAGCCGAGTCCAGTGCAGGCGAAATTTATTGGTGGTGTGAGGGCGCAGGGGGTGCCCCCTCCCTCCACCAGGGGTCACCCCTAAAAGCTGCCCAGCAGGTAGGCAAAAGCACTTACAAACGCCCCATGAAAGCAATCATCCAAACCTCGACCTCTTCGTTAATAGGACCTAAAACCGGGCCTGGTCCAGCGTCGGGTCCAGATCGATGCAAGAGGAGTAGATCAGCAGAGGGATCAACACAACGTTCTGCGAACTTACGCAAGCAAGATCTCAGCAAGTTGACTACGTTTTAGTGGCCGAAATAGACGAAACGTGGTGTGGTCGGATGTGGCGAGGTCATCAACCATGGGTTGCTCACTCTCCCGGGTCATGTCCATTGGCGTTGCGGTAAGTGACTGCAGGCCGGCCAATCACTGTCAGAAAAAAGCACAGGATTTTCACAGAAAAAAGTGCGTCAATTAATTACACAGCATGTCTGAGCTCAATCATGTGAGAAGCACGGAGCTACCACAGTATGTCAGTGCTCAATCCTGTGATAAACCACAGAACTACCACACGAAAGTTCTGTGCTTTCACAATCACAGTAAAATAGTGTGATGAAAAAT